TATTATCCCAAGTACATTCATATGGTGTAAACAGTGATCAAAGTCGTATAGGTTAAGCAAAAGCTTTTAATGACCATTGTGTGCTATGGTGAGCTGAGAAACATAAGTTATCTATGTGAGAGTGAAGTGGGGCCGCTTCAAGGAGACTATTTGGGCATAGTTCTCTCAAACTCTTGCAGAACCAGGCGAATGTCCATGGCTTTAAAGACATACCCATGAGAACTAAATTCTTGTCAGAGGGATAATTGTGTGAAGTAAGTCATCGTTTACACAAACGACAGAATAGTTCAAGGACATCGTGTCTATTGTTTAACCAGTAAAGTAAATATACTTTCACAAGAGAAGTTTCAAAGGATGACACCTACCTATCCTATGCAACTACCAATCGTAGAGGTTATCACCACATCGTGCCAAAATGTTTTTGATTAAATCATCAATTTCATTCATGTGGGGATTGTTGGAAAAGGGGTAAATTTAATTGATGAATTTAATATTTATATTAAATTCATAGTCCTTTTGACTATTTCAAATTAAAAGATAATTTTTAATTTGAATATTAATAGGATAATTATTCTTTTAATAAGTCAATTTAAAAAGGTATTTGTTATCTTTTTAATTTTGAATATTAAAAGATAATTATATATTTTTGTATATTTCAAATTAAAATAATATATGCTGAAGTTTGAGTAGTAAAAGGAGTTTAGCTTTTGACCATTACAAATTAAATATATTATTTAATTTGAATATTAATAGGATAATTACTCTTTGAATATGTCAACTTAAAAATGTATTTGTTACTTTTTTTAACTTTGAATATTAAAGATAATTATATATTTTTGTATATTTCAAATTAAAATAATACATAATTAAGTTTGAATGGTAAAAAGAGTTTTATCTTTTGAATATTTCAAATTAAAAGATATTGTTATATGTTTAATGTTGAATATTAAAAAGATATTTAGTTGGATTAAATCTCTCTTGAAAATCCCCTATAAATAGTGAGTAAAAATGTTAGGTTTTTCACATCTTAACAGATATCATAACTAAGTTTTCAAGAACTTCTCTTATCTTGAAATTTTTTTCTCTTCCTTAGTTTTTCCGGTGATAGTCGAAGGCAAAGATCGTTCGTGATCTGTGTAGATGTGCTACTGTAGCTGATCATTAGTTGTTGTATCCTGGGAGACAGACAACCAATAAATTCGAGCACCAAATGAGTGACCGAAAATTTGTCTTAAGGAAACTGAATAGCGACAGACCACAATTGATTTCGATCGATATATTAAAATAAAAGGGGTATTTTATTTCCATTTATTTTATATTATCTTCTAAGAAGTTTAACATTTTTGGTTTATTTTCTCTGGATTGATTTTGTCTCAAATTGTTATTCTGGATAACAATCTCATTCCCTTTAATTATTTTAAAATAATATTTATTCATTACTATTTTTCTATATCATTTTCGGATTAATGTGCACAATTTTTTTCTAACAGTAATATGTACAAAAATATCTATAAATATTTAGATTATTTATAATAGTTATATTATATCTAGAATTATCTCTAGAACCATCTATATATTTATAAGATTAATATGGTTAGAATATTGATAGGTGTTAACAATTCAATGACCTCTAAATATATAAATACGGATGAGATTTTTCAACGTGGATAGAGTGCAAAATGTATGTGAGTTATATGTGAAGGACAACTTAGAGGTAGAGACGAGAAGAATAGTAAATTATGTGTGTAATATTATAATTGAACTCTCTTTAACCCATTAAATTTGTCCCTTTTGTGTTTTTTTTTTGTTTTGTAAATGGCGTCTTATATGTATTAAAGGATAAACACATACAAAGACAACAACTATGATCAAGACCTCGTTAAAAAATCTTTCTAAACTTAAATAGAGGAAAAAGAGTGACCGAACCAAAACCATTCGAGAACTAAAAGAAATCAAGAATCAAGTACAATCCCACAAGATCAACAAAACAATCGCTAAACCACAACAATCAAAGCAAAGAAAATAAACAGACTATAGGTGAAACAACAAAAACATACTACAGTAGCAGACATCATTCAACACCACTACAATATTATTTCAATCCACAAGGTAGCCCATCTCCAATTTTAACCAACTTTGACCTGCACTCAACCTCGTCTGCACTAAATCGAGCTGAAACACAGGTCCATTACCACTGCAAGGGAAACACAATTGCTCTTAGCCCAAAGTACCTATAGTAAATGAAGAAATAAAAATGCAAATCAAGTCTCCCACCGCCTCTACCTCTATTGCAACAACGTGATAATCATCAATAACCAGAAATTAACACCGACGATCCACCACCATACGAGGCTAAACTCCACCCTTCAATAGACGAGTTGGACCAAAAAACCGATGGAGCACCTAGTATATGTTATACCAATTAATTTCACATAGTTTCTCTCAAAATTCATTCAAGCTAGAGGTGAGCCAGCGGTTCTTTTGAAGCAGTTTGATTTCCCAGTTTGTACTCTAACTTTCATATTGAATATCTAGTTGATTTTGTGGAAGTTAAAACGGAGCTTAAAAACTAAACCACCATGCATGGATATACTCCACATGAAATGCATATAATTCCCTCTTTCCCTCTCATGTCTTGTTAAAATATTTGAACTTCTGACTACTAAAAGCCTTTAAAACGTGCGGCAAACATCTTTGACTTGCAATAACATTACTTTGTAATCAAGTTTTTGACATCACTTCATATATCTGTTTGACCTATATTTTAATGCGTAACCTGGATTATTAATTTGTATTTGGCCAGGTGGATAATTTACCTAGTTTACTTGTAAAACTATTTGAAAAGTTAGAGCAATCTTTTGGAGACCTTCAGCCTAAAACAGATGATACTGAGAATGCATCCATGGAACCTAATGATCCTAAACAGAGAAAAGTTCCCGTCTCGGTTCATATAACAGCTAATGAGGTAATGGATTTGTCTTTTTTTGAAGAAAAAAAAAACTCTTTATATATGGCTTGTTGGATAGGTCTTCCCCCATCATCCTCTAAAATGTAAAGGAGGCCCGAGGAGTGGGGATGGAGGGAAACAACTATCTAGATAGACTAACGATGATTTGTGTTTTAAAATTATCCCATTTGAATTTTTCTTCGAAAAAACAAAAAAAAAATTATCTACACATATTTCTTTTTATCATTTTTTAATTTCCCAACAAAGTAAAATTTAACCTTTTCATATAAAATTATCATTTTTATTTTTTTACATTATAAATTAATGATGTTAATAAGAAAACTTTTTAATTGATTTTATACTTAAATTTGAACGCCAAATGTACAATCTAATATTTTTTCCCTTCAACTACCGAAGCATCGATTGACGTATAATAATACCTGAAAATACTTAATTAATTAATATTAAAAACTTACTAAATAGATTATATTAAATTATTCAATAAAATTAAAATTTAATTCTTACCCATCTTAAAGATCAATCTAAAATTGTACAATCTTTGGAAGACTTCCTGAAATTCGATAATCCGATCTATCAACTTTTACTGCCAACCGTTTAATCTCCAAGGAAATATAGTGGATATCTTTTGTCTGCATGTTTTTTACCCACCTGAATAAACTACCCAGACTTAATATTTTTTTGAAGCTACTTTTTTTTCTCAACCTTGTCAATCTCATTTTCATTTTGTTGAAGAAGAAATCAACTTCCTCCTTAGACATCATCGTGATTTTAAATGTATAATACATCCTCACTTTACAACATAAAAATAATTTAACACACGTTAATTTTAAATAATATAATAGTGAATTGTTAATAAAATTTTAAAGGATTGATACAATTTGTTGTAATCTTTAAATTATCGGAGATCTTTCGCCCAATGGTTTGGGCTCTCAGTTACTCAGTCTTTCTCCTTAACAATGGTTCAATTCTTCACAAGTGCAAATATGTTTTTTTTTTTTCATTTCAATTGGGTGGTGACACGTTATTAAATAAATTAAAATTCATAAATAAAACATTTCAATCATGTATTGACATGTGTCACCTTCTAATTGAAAGATTAATTTATTAAGTTCAATTTATTTAATTCAATTAAAATAGTGAATAAAGTGATAGAATGTGTAAATATTAAGGACTAAATATATAAATAATTATGCCAATTTTATTAACTGATGCATCACCACCTCCGTTAAAAAATAATGGCTTGTGGCTTGATTGGCTTAATTTAAATATTTAAATAACAAGATGGTATGATTGATTAAATCAAAACGTCGATGGTCAACATAAAAATGGGTAATAGTTTAATGATCACCCGTGTAATTTACCAATTGAAATATTATATAATTTTTAAGATGAAAATAAAATATAATATCTAAATTTATATCGTACATAATCTGTTTGCTCATAATCACGTTTATTTATGATGATAGTAAATGAATTGTTGTTATTTTATGAGATTTTAAGTTCAAACATAAAAAATATCAGGGGTGTGAGCGTTCAACATCAAATGGTTGAGAGTTATCTTTAAACATATATTGTTTTGTATTTTACTCCAAATTAATCATAAAAAAAGTAGGAGAGTAGAGTTTGAACGAATAAAATTGTGTTCATATTCATTTATTTATTTTTTAAGTGCTTACGTTCGATTTGTGTTCATTTAAAATTTTAATATCGTGCACGTGTTCATTTATTTTTAATTCATTTAGTATTTACAAACACATTTATTAAACGATAGTGAAGATTTTCATTTTTATGTTAAGGAATGTTTAGAAAATAGTGAAATTATGCGCTAATCCTTAAATTTCCTTAGGTTTCATAGTTTGAATTTCAAGGTTGACATAGTATTCAATTTAGTTCCTACATTCATCATTATTTAAAATGTTAAAAAAACAATCGAATAAACGATATTATAAACGAATCGATAAATAAATCAATAAATGAGTTTTTTCATAAACACTACAAACTTAACAGACTTCTATTTATATTCGTTAGTTTATTAAATAAGAATATTGTGTTGAAAAGTACACACTCTTGCCAGTTTAAAAGTTTTCCCAGGTCCACACAAATAACCTTTGGCCGGAGCACAGTGAACATCCTGTGAGCAAACGCAGAGCCCTTCTAATGCGCATCCTTCCTTTAACATCGTGACCCCTTTCCTCAACCCAAGAACCTGGTCGGTCCACTCACTCGAAAACAACCCCAACGGATCGTACTTATTTTTAACCTTCAAAAACTCTACGCCGTTCTTGTACTTCTTTATAACCCCGTCGAACGCCAGGTTCCGATTCTTCCCCCAGTGCGGCAACGCACCGTATTTGAACAACGCCATCTGCTCGATCTCTTCCAAAATGTCTTGGTAAAGCCTGGGGGCCATGGGGTCTTTGCTTCTGTAATAGGAGATGTCGAAATCTATTGCGTCTTCTTGCTTGCCTAAGTAAGCAGTTGAGGCTTTCACGTAACGCATGAGGATGCCGTTGTAGAGTTCTAGGCCGCAGAGTGATTTAGGTTCCATTGCAACCAGCTTCTGAACGTCTTCGATGAAGCTTTTCACGACGGATAAGCTGACGGAGAATGTGGTTTGGTGGAAGAACTCGCCCTTGATTCTTGGATCCCAAGCGCACGCGGTGATCAGCTCGTCTTCGAGGCTGTCGAGGCAGGTTCCCGATGACTGGAGGCGGTTGTGGAATCCGATGACCGGATAGCCCGTAAAAATCAAACCTACCTCACAAATAAAAGAAATAACATTGTAAAAATAGAACAATCAAAGTATGTTGAATGGAAGTATAGGGATTATATCTCAAATTAACAAGAGATTAATAGACTCAAGGGGTACCGTTGTTTGTCAATCCATAAGCAGCCGTTTGCAGTGTGGCTACGATCACCTTTGCATCAAGGCACTTCCCATTAGCATCTCGAAAGAATTCCTGAGTTTCCTCTGAAACATTAAACCAAATCGTAAAAAAGAAATTTTTTTGTCGAAATCGAAATGTTAATTGATGAAGTTCATGCATGCATGCATGGTAGAATTATTCATCTAGTAACGAACCGTTCGATCTGGTAAGTGCCAAAGCAAGTGAAGGAGTGGACCGAAACGGCGTAAAATCGTAGAGACCATTGCCGGGCTTATTAATCGTCACCCGATCGTCTATTCTGTAGACGGCCTTCCGTTGGCTTGGATACCAACTTATGTCTGCAAATTCATGCAGCTTGCCGAAGCTCACTGCTTCGTCTCCCAAATCTTTGTCACCCTTTGTTAGGTATGTGATTGATCGTTTGAAAAGAGGTTGAAGTTTGAAAGTCACCTATATAAAGAACGGAGCAGTAGATTATAATGAAAGGATAATTACTGTATAAAGGTTTAATTCTTATCTTAGTCCTTGTATTCTCAAAGTGTTAGAATTTAGTCTCTCTTCTCTTATCTCTGAGAACCTATTGTTTCTGTACATCTGATTTCAGAAGAAAAAAAAAGTTCAATTAAAAATGGATTAGTATTTAATATAATATCAGTGGAAAAATTTAATTCCACAACAATATTTAAATTTTATCTTTATATGTCCTAAATTTTATACAACTCTAATTGTCATATGACATCCATTCAATTTTGTTCGTGAATTTTTTCTAATTCCAGTTATAATAGAGTTAATTGCATCATATGCCTTCAAACTATAATTTTTATTTTAAATTAGTCCTTAAATTTTTTTAATATTTTAATTTCATCCTCAAACTATGATTTTAAATTAGTCCTTAAACTTTTGAATATTCTAATTTCATCACTAAATTATGATCCTCTTTCTAAATTAGTCCTCAAACTTTTGAATATTCCAATTTCATCCAAATGTGTAATTAGTTTCAACCATAGTTTAACCTAATTTTTGTTTTTTTCAAACATATAATAATATAAATTGGTCTAACAATTTTATTAACAAGGGATGTGATTAGTATATACATATAGTTTTGGATGAAATTGAAAGGTTTGGGGACCAATTTAGAATAAAGGTCATAATTTGGGAATGAAATTAAATTATTCAAAAATTGGAAGACTAATTTAAAATGATAGTCATAGTTTGATGATGAATTTAGAATGTTTAAAAAAATTAAGGATCTATTTAAAATGAGATCATACATTAAAACATACTATGCAATTAACTCATACTAATACATGAAATGTTTTTTTATTAATACATAATAGCTTTTTTTAGATAATTACGAATTTTATCTATCCCGGAGTAGCAAATCTGCTACAAATAACACTTCAATTAATTACTCACGATTTTATGTTAATTAAATATATGATATTTTAAAAATTCTAATCTAAAAGATTTTTTATATTAAAACATTTACTACCTCAAAAATGTGATGCTTGTTATCTTTCGAGGTTCTAGATTCAAACATTAAAATTTATTTTATTTTTTATTATCAAATAATTATAAATCTTTAAAACAAATATTTCTACGTAACCTCTCCGAATTAATAAAAAAAACTACACCAAAAATTTCCATTGACTTAATTTGGGGTCCAACAATAAAATAGAAAGGATCATGAATGCTTTTGCAACAAGCTTGTCCACAAGGAGAACACACGTTGAATTGTACTACGTACCTGTGAAATTACCCCAAGGACTCCAAGCGAAACCTTAGCTGCATCGAGATCTTTGTCCCTCTCATTTAACACCCTGACCTTAGCATACCCTTCATCGGCTCCGGCAGGGCTTACAATTCGCATCTCCACCACGTAATCATGAACCGCGCTCCCTTTCCCCCACAACGAGCTCCCATGAGCTCCCGTACCTAAAATCCCACCAATGGTGAGCCCCCACCAGTACGGCGCATAAGGCAATGCTAATCCAACATTGGCGGCTTCATTAATCAACTGTCTCAACGTGACACCGCTCTCCACCGTCATCGTCATTGCCGCTTCGTCCATTTGCACTACACGGTTAAGGTGCTCGGTGCTGATAAGCAACCCGTCTTGGCCATCGGGGCAGACCAACTTCGGGATGCTGTGGGAGAAACGTGTCACCACTTTCATTTTCCTCTTGGCTTCGGTCGCGGCCGATATGACCGAAACCAGCTCTTGTTCGGTCGTCGGATACGCCACGTTCCCCGCCCGGCAGATGGCTCGGTCGGGGAACATGCCGTAAGAGTTCGTGACGGTGCAATTCGAATCATTCTTCGAACATTTGACAGGCTCCGCCGGGGGAGTGCAACTCACCGAAACAGCCAATAGAGAGAGGCATCCCCATAGGAGAAGCTCATGAAACATGGTTTCCCGTTCTGAACGTAACATCGATATCTGGGTTTTGGTGGAAAATGATTGAGGAAATCTCTTGGCTATATAATACTATTTTGTTATTAAACAGATCTGTAGCTTAGAAGGGGGACCTGGCGGGGAGAAACGCAATACATTGGTTTAAATGCTTTGAAGTTAAGGACTTTCCAAAAGGTAATTTATGGATAAATAGTTTTAAAGGTTAAGAATACAAATGATCATTAGGTTATATTAAAATATTTTTTATTATTAAAGTTTTAAAAATTATAAAATAATAATTAAATTTATCGAATTGTCATTCCACGGTATAAAATAGTGATAAATCTTGATGAATTTCAAAATGACTTTGTTATTGTTTGATAAATTTAATGATCATTTTATAATAGTTAGATGAAATTTAATTATCATTTTATAACCGTCTAAGAAATTTAATAATTATTTAATATGTAAACTATCCGTTTTGGTCCATTTTAGTACTTAAACTTTCAATTTTTTTCAAAACGTAACGTTAAATTTTGAAGGGTGCTAAAAAAAAACTAAACTTTAGATACAAAAATAGACTAAAATTAATAATCAGATCGGTTTATGAGATTTTGGTGGCCCTTGGGCTAACAAAAAAATTAGGCCCCCAATTAAGGATATAAAGTACAACTTGAATTTATGTTTTCACCGTGTTGCGTTTATCGCTATTACGAACACAACAAGTGATATTGTAGTCACTACAAGTATCGTAATTATGAATTTTAAATAACATATGCTATTGTGGATGTCACAGTTTCGGGCGATATCGTTATCACTTCATAACGATCATTGTTGTGGTTACAAACCGTTATTTAAGTAATTGTTCCTAATAACAAGTGTCGAAAAATAATTTTTAAGAGTAACTCCATAACAACAAGTATTAAAAAATGGGTCGCAAATAATAACAAATATTTTAAAAAATAAAATTTAAGAGTATGCTCGTAATAATAAATAAATATTAGAAAAGAAATTGATTTCTAAAAGTACGTTCCTTATACAAATATTGAAAAAATTGTGGTCTTTAATAATAAAAGAAAAAAAAATTGGCAAAAACTTAGACACTTACACAAATATTAGAAAAATTATAAAAGAAGGCTCGTAATAATAAATATAAAAAAAATTGAGCCCACGATAATAAATATTAGAGAAAAATTAACTTTTATAATAAGTATTAAAAACAATTGGACCCTGTAACTAATAAAATTATTTTTTATAAGTATAGTATACTATAAAAATTCTGGACCTTGGGCAGTGCTCCTCCTGCCTAACCCTAAATACGGCTATGCTGATAATTTAGATATTAAACGCATAGTATACACTTTATTTTAAGTTCCCTTATGCGTGACCCTAGCTAAAACTATTTCACTTGAAAATTTGATATATTTTAATTATCAATTAATTCATTTGATAATTCTAATTTATATAAACAAATATTAGATCTGAATTGAACACAACTTATAAAAGCTCTTGTCAATGCAACCAGGGTTTCGTTGGATCTAACGTAGATTGTTCGAGCTAATGAGTACTATATGAATGTTTTTGTTTTATTAAGTACTAATTAAAGTGTAAGTAAAAATTAATGTCTTGAAAACTCGAATAAAATAGAGTAGATCTCATTTCTCTTTCTTACAGCCTGCAGTTATTTTCCAATGCGAACTTTGTTACGACCAAGTTAAAAAAGGAAAGAAAGAGTCAGAATCAGACTCCGATTTTTCTTAACAAAATCAACCCATCGTGTTCACATTATGACCTGATCCGAGACGGACGCATAATTTATAAAAAATTTAGAGGATAAATGTATATTTTCAATAAAAAATATATATAGAACTTTAAATTATACAATAATTTTAAATTTTTAAGAAAATGATTATCCTCGGCTGCCTATCGATCAATCCCTAGACCTGACTGAAAACAAATGTTAGGTGAGATGCAGCCGTTTCATACATACCAAACCCTGGACTTCCTCGGGGCACATCTTATTTTTCTTTTCTTTAAAGTTCCTTTTTCAAGTCTTCCTTTGGAGTCAAGCAAACTACTGATTAAACATTTATATCGATCGAATTATTCGTATTTCGAATCTTATAAATGAAAATTTTCCATTACAGGTTTCTTAAATCAGACAACATCTTGTTATGAAAAGCAAGCTCCAAAGGTTTCTAAATCAAATGTTGGGTAATTGTGAAGATAATTATTTAGCTGACAGTAACTTTTTAATTACACAATTAGATTTTTTTTTTAAAAAAAAGGAAAAAGATTTCGTGTACTTAATTGACAAATTCTATAAGAGGAGTTATCTGACTCTTCAAACAAAGGTTAATAGTTATCATGTGTCCTTGTACAACATTAACAAGTGCAAAATAATTAATCCCTGTGTATAGAGTTCAACCGACCCTAATTACGCTTATTTATGAAATTAAAAAAAAAACCAAGACCCCTCTTAAATGGTAAAAGTCTTGGTTTAGTCCTTTAAAATTTTAAAAAAATTAAAAATTTAATGATAAAATTATATTGGCAAAAATGCATTTGAAGTCCATGCTCTTTTGCAAAAAATCGATGTGGTTCTTGTATTATTTTTTCTCTCAATGCGACCCTCCAACTCAGAAAACAAACCCAATGTAACCCTTTGACCAACGTTTTCCGGCATTGATCGTTACGATGCTGACATGATAGTTCACGGTGTTGACGTGATGGTCTATCTGTCATGTTTGATTTACGAATTTAGCTTATCTGTCATTTCATTCACTACATTATCAACCATCGTGGATTGTCACGTCAGTACCGTGGACAACCACGTCTACATCGTGAACTACCACGTCAGCACATAACGTTCAACTACGAAAGACGTTGGTCAAAAGTTCACATTGGTTTTTTTTGTAAAATTACATGGACCTCTAATGTTTTTTTGCCAGTTATATTTTTCGTTTAATGATCAGTCATATGGCTGCCTACTAAAGCCAAAAATAGAGATTTGAAGTAGGATTTGAGAAGCCCATGAAAATTATTAGGAATTTCTGTGTAAGATAAAGACTGAAATGGCATAACAACAAACGTAGCATATGCTCTGCTTCAGCTCCCTCTTCATTATTGAGATTAGGTTCAGGATGCTCCTTTTTCCAATGGAATGAAAAAAGGGTGTATCGTATCAGCCCACCAAAAGCATCATCCATAACAACCATTACTCTTATTTATAATGCCATGCAGATTAGGAACAATACCCAGACATCTAAATAATGTTGTGGGTCCATCCATTACATGCGACTGATCAAAAGAAAGAAAACCTCCTTCTCTTTTATACAAGATTGCATATATGCTTCAACCATATTCGAATGAGTAAGATCGGACCAAATTCGAATACCATACATGGAAAGATTATAAGCTTAATATTATCATCAATCATACTATAAAACTAAAGCAAAAACCTTTTTTTTTCTCAAGTTGTATCAGAGATGGGATCACCTCAACCACCTTCTGAGATCACAAGTTGAAGATGGGGACATCCACCGCCGAGACTATCGGTACAACAAGAAGAATAGTTAGACTGTCTTTCGATTCCGAATTGTGATCCACTCACGCTTCTAAAACTCGGACTCCTCTGACTATGACCGTAACCTCCGTATTCCATATCAGTGATGTATGGTTCCGGGACTGGAACGATAGCCTTTTCTTCGCCCAAGCAACTCGGTCCCTTTCTGGTGTTGGCCTCTGCCTCTTCCTCGGAGCACTCTGGGACCTGATCCTGGCCTTTGCAGACTCTGTTGCTGCCATGTAATTTGGCAACATACTTGTGTTATTGCCAGTGACACTACTACTACCGACCCTACCGATGTAATAGTAATTGGACCTTAAGCTTGGTGTTTGAGACGAAATCGAGCTTCTATAGTCCCTAAAAAAATTGGGGCTCGTGGACCGAACTTGAATAGGTCGGGATTTGGACGGAGAGGGTGTGATAGGGGAAATGTGGGAAGGTGCATTTTGTTGAGCTCTATGCAGAGGTGAACTGGGCCTTTGGGGATAATGGTTTGAATTTATTCTTCCGTAATTGGGTACTAAATATGAGCAAGGCCGGGAAGTATCCATTTCTACCGTTTTGATACCTTCTCTATGATATGCAGAAGCTCTTCCCCTGTTATCCCATGGCTTAGCAGGCATCCAACGGTCAAGCCATTTCGGTTCGAGCTTGTCTTCTGGACCGCCCATCGAAGGGCTCCTTCGAGCTCTCCTCATCTATTTGCCAAAAATGGACTAATCAGCTTACATGAATCATTGCAATAAGACAAGAGGGCATGGTTAAGAAGATGCACCTGTTGAGATAATGCTAGGGATAAGTTCTTTTCACGCTTCATAGCAGCTTCTTTTCTGTGTTGTAACATAGCTTTAACTTCCTCGACCGTGTGTGGCCTTTCCTCCCAGTCATCTTCTATGGTACATACTAATGATCATCTGTCGGAGAAGCCTTGAAGATAACGCAATTCCGATATGATATTCGGGTCGCTGATTGCCGGTTTCCGGCTTCTGTCCTGCGAGAGCCTCTTTCTTTGGTCGAGAAACTGAGCCTGCACTTTAACCAGAGCTTGCATACACCGGAGTGTCAGCTTGGCTTGCTTTCTCACACTGTGATCTCTCATTAAGCTTGCAACTTCACTAATCCTTTTAGCGCACGAAGAGCTCTTCTTGCCTGCACAATCACCGCACAGAAAAATCAACTATTGGAATCCTAAATTCCTAATGATAACTAAATATAAATTCTTTTCTAACCAGGTAGCCTCTAAAAGCTGTCTGAATAACAATGGAAGTAAAGTGATGATCTCTGCCATAAGTAGGCTCAGCCGCCTGCGCAGTGGTCACGGCAGCTCCGCCACAGCGCCTTCGCTCCACTGCTAAAGTTGCACTTTCTGTCGCTGCCGCAGTTGCACCGCCACCATTGCCTACACTCTTCACCGGTGTTTGCTGCGTTGATTTCCTGAAGGTCCACCGCCGCTTATCTCTCTTTACCAAAACCAGATGAAAAAAATAACGAACTTAACTTTGTTCATCAAAATTTTCCAACCTTTTCTTATCGTCTTCCTGCTGGTCATGCCGGTTGTTTTTTCTTGTCATTTGCGCCGTCTTTGGTAGGAGATCTAAAAGCCCTTTTCACAGCAGTCAACCATGAGGTCCCTCCTTTCTTCCCCATTCAAAAGGATATGGTTAAACCAGGCTGCATTTACAGACAAATTCAGCTAAAAATGCTTAGAAACGAGGAGCATAGTACGTTAACATCTTTTTCATGTTAGTGTAAATTTATAGACTATTTGAAATCGGATTTAAATCCGAAATATCTAAAACTGTTTATCTATAATCGGATCAAAATCGAGAACGTGAGAAGCATAGTGTGGTGAACAAAGTAGCGTGCGATATCGAGAAACGTTGAAAGGCAAAAGGGCATCAAAGGGAAACCACGTTGAGTTTGCACATCGCCCAATGGCAAAGGTTCTATCTTTTCCCGAACAAAGAAAAGCTCCCTCTTTTATTAACTATTCATTCAGCTCATCACTACATAAATGAGTGGAAGCTTTTCTCTGGGTATTGTTCCCTTTTCTTCTTCTTTCATATCTTCAAAAAAATTGATGACAACCAGACACTTCTTGTGGAGTCACGTGGTCGGAGCTGATGACAAGTAACTTATGAGCAAGCAATGAAAAAAGAAATCAAGTGGAAGATGGAGTAGGACAGTTAATTTGTATCATTGGGTTGAATTAGATCATGATGTGATAGAAAATTAAGATAATTATCAAAATTCTATTTATTCAATTCCAATAATAAAAAGTTTGATGATTTTTACCTGCCAAAAGGAGGCTCCTGTTCATTTTTTAAAAAAATAATGTGTTTTCGATTTTTTATTTAATATGATCTTTAAACTTAGAAAAAAAATCTAATATGATCTTTTTGATCAATGAATTTTGTCTTTTAGCATTACCATGTTGTCGTGATAGTTCACAGTAGTAGGTGACATGACTGATGTTATAATAAATGAGTTAAATTGATTTATTTTAAGTTTGAGAGCTAATTTTTTAAAAAGTTCAATTAATTATTTGATTTTTTTAAAATAAAAATATTTTAAATTTAAATAGTACAAATATATGTTAAGCCCTTTATTTCTTTGATTTTTATTTTTAGTCCTCTTAAAATTTGATTCTTTCACTGAAGCATTTTTTTTATCAATGTTAGTATTAGTGTCATTATTTTGGAACACATAATAATGGTAGGAAGTATGATAGAGCATAGATATTTTAGAGTTAGCTGCAAATTTTGATATTTCTAAAGAAAAATTCGGTATTAATTTGTTACGATATTAAAAAAAATATTTATGAATTAATAAATTTGTTATTAAAATAATATAAATTTGGTTGGATGAGAATCGTAATATAATAATTGTTGAGAACTCATTTTATCCGTACTAGTATGCAGACTTTTATCTTATTTTTAAATGATGTATTATTTATTTTCGTATATTTAACATTTTTTTTTACTTTTTTCTGATGTTTAATTTTTCTAAATTTTATAGTGAATATTTATCAATTTTAATATTTTTTATTTAATAAATAACACTAATAATTAATTATATTTTTATTATATTTAATTTAAAAAATTTATATTTTAAAAAAATCAAATAAGCCCTTGAAATTTTAAAATAATCAAGTTGAACCTCAAACTTGTAAAAAAACTAATTTAACCCATCTACCATATTAGCATCGTGAACCGTCACATCAGTATTGTAACGATCAATGATGGAAACCGTTGGTCAAAAGAGACATATTAAATTTTTTTTCAAACCTCAAACTTGTAAAAAAACTATTTAACCCATCCATATTAGCATCGTGAACCGTCACATCAGTATTGTAACGATCAATGATGGAAACCGTTGGTCAAAAATTTAACCCATCTACCATATTAGCATCGTGAACCGTCACATCAGTATTGTAACGATCATGATGGAAACGTTGGTCAAAAGAGACATATTAAATTTTTTTTCCTAAGTTAAGTAAAGAAAATCGAGAACTACGTTGGTTTTAATTTTTTTAAATACAAAGGCTTCAAGTATCCTTTTTACCTTTTTTTAATAAAATCATGAATTTAAATTTTATGGGGAAAATGCTTAGCAAACTGGATTCCAACAAAGTGGAAGTCATTGCGTGGAAAATTGACTCACTTTTTCTCACCCGGGAAAATTTACTGGAAGTCTTTTGTATTACTATGGAAAATTCAACTCGGAGTACCTTAATGTCAACACGTAATGACTTTGATGCTTCTTGACTCAGTCGTGATACACCCGTTAGTGGCGTAATGTTTAAGTTCACTTGAAAGTATAGATTAATTTATGATCATCATAGACTCCATAGCAACTCCATAGCAAACTATACCTTTCGATATGGGCATCCGTCACAGCAACAACCTATGTCACGGTTTCCTGTTATGTTTACTTGTCTCGTTACTACCGGTGTCATCATGTTCCGTAGTAACAGCATTGGCCTGAGATGTATCGAGAGTGAGAGAGAACAACTTGTGGAATTCAAGGAAGGCCTCATCGATCGTTTGGGAAATCTTTCCTCGTGGGTCGGATTGGATTGCTGCAAATGGAGAGGGTGAGCTGCGACAACCGAACCGGGCATGTCCGGTGCTCGACCTCGAAAACTATGCCTTGGGAGGAACACTGAAACCTTCTTTGCTCACTTGAATATTTGGCCTACTTGAATCTTGCTCAGAATCATTCTCGGAGACCCAATTCCCATGTTCTTAGGCATGTTAAACAACTTGAGATACCTGAATCTCTATGGTTCAGGCTTTAGTGGAGAGATTCCACCCACCTTGGGAATTATCGCACTTGCAGAGTCTTAACCTGAGTGATAATAGCGGTCTTCGTGCCCAAAGTCTTGTCTGGCTTTCAGGTTTATCCTCACTGGAATCTTTGTATCTAGGAAATGTAAAACCTCCGTGATGTAGGAGGGTCTTGGTCGAAGCAGTGAACATGCTTCCATCTCTTGTGAGATTATCTTTGTATCGTGTGGTCTTGAACCCTGATCTAACCCTCTCATCAATCAATCTCATCACATGAGGTCCTCGACTTGTTCGCCAATTCAATTAAGTCCCCAATACCACACTGGTTCTCTAACCTTACCAATCTTCAAGTGCTCAATCTAAGAGCAAACAACTTCTTGGGCACCATCCCTTTTGGATAGGAAATCTCTGCAAATTGAGGGTTTTGAGACTCAATTCTAACGGATATCTTCACGGTGGAATCGTCGGGTTTTTGGACGGTTATCTGCTTGCCGAAATAATAGCTTGGAGACTCTATCTCGGAGGCAAACAAACTTGACGGAAGGCTCCCAGAATCATTAGGAGCATTAAAGAATTTGCAAGAACTTGACCTCACACTAATTTCTTTTGGGGTTCAATCCCGGCTTCTATAGGGAATTTGTCATCCTTGTGGTTATTGGAACTATCGGATAACGAACTCATGGCACGATCCCGAAAGTATTGGAAAACTAGCTGAGCTATCAACACTGGGCCTGGTAAATAACCGTATGGAAGGTGTTTTGACAGAATCCATTTAGCCAATCTCACAAGATTAGCACTTTCCGACTCACAACGTACCATAACAGGACTTTGGTTTTTAATGTGAATCGTGATTGGGTTCCTCCTTCAGGCTTACAACTCTGGTACTCATTAATTGCTTGGTTGGTCCTTCTTTTCCAGTTTGGCTGCAAGTTCAGGCCCATCTTTTCTATGTTATACTTTCAAATGCTGGGATCTCGGACACCATAGAAGAAGAATGGTTTGCCAGGTATTTTCTACTTCCTGGTACATAGACCTGTCAAACAATTCCATCAGCGCCAACTACCTTGCAAGTTCACTCCGAAGGGTTAGATGTAGTTGATTGAGCAGGAATCGTTTCGAGGGCAACATCCCACTTTGTTTGATTAATGCAACACATGTGTATCTCCAGAGAAATTCATTTTCAGGTCCTATAGCGGACAACGTTGGGGAGCTGATGCCATGGTTGGAAACTTTGTTTCTTTCTCGGAACCAGATCAGCGGCAGGCTGCCATCATGGATATGCAAGATGAAGCGGCTGAAATTTCTCTCTGTCGGTCACAACAGATTCTTCGGACAACTCCCGGATTGTTGGAAAAATTGACAAGCTTGAAACTTATGGATGCCTCCAACAATAGCCTCTCAGGTGAAATCCCAAGTTCCTAACTTCGTCATGTCACCTTGTTGTGTTGATGTTGGGCGACAACAATCTTAGAGGGAAGATTCCTTTTCCGGTAGACAGTTATCGGGAAGTACCATGGTTTTACGTTCTTCAACTCCGATCAAAACCTGCTTGAGGGTAACATTCCTGAACAACTTTGTCATCTTCTTATATCCACAGTTTGGATCTTTCGAACAACATCTTAGTGGGTCCATTCCGAAGTGTTTCCACAATTTCACCGCCTTGAAATATGGGAATGAAACTTTGGGCTACTATGATTTGTTCGAAGTCCCAGATCATAATTGGCGAGCAAACAATGCTGGTCGGGACAAAGGGAAGGGAGCTTGAATATAGCAAAAACTTTCCTGGAGGTGAAGAACATCGACCTTTCTAGGAACAAACTTACAGGTGAATTCCCCGTAGGGCTGTGCAACTTGGCCTTTTTGGACACGTTGAATTTGTCGAGAAATCGTTTAACCGGAAACATCCCCAACAACATCGGTGATTTACGATGGTTGGAGTCCCTCGATCTGTCGTTCAACAAATTTTCAGGTCCCATTCCTCAAAGTCTCTCATCATTGACGCTCTTGAATCACTGAGCTTGTCTTACAAACAATTGTCGGGAAGAATCGACGGGAATCAGCTCCAGACGCTCAACGATTCGTCCAACTACGAAGGCAATCCATTTCTCTGCGGTGTTCCCTTTCGACAAGCTGTCCAGGCGACACCGTCTCCCCTCCACCCCATCTCGAGATGGTGGTGATTCCAAAGACAAGCTGTTTCTCTATCTTAGCATCGCTATGGGATTCATTGTGGGATTCTGGGGTGTTTGCGGTTCCTTGGTTCTCAAGGAATCATGGAGGCATGCTTACTTTCGATATGTAGACCAGTTGAAGGAGAAGGTGTTACTTTGGATTGCATTGGCAGTTGCTCGCTCGCAAAGGATGTTTGCCAAGGAAAATAATTAAAGATACTTTGGATTGCAATATGTAATACGTACTCGTTTAAATCGTCTCTTGTTCCTTCTTCAGTTTCCCTGGTGTGTGCCTAATATCAGAGCTTTTGTTTGGGTTAGTTTTACATGGTGTTCGGGGCCTTTCGGATTGAAAAGGCAGTAGGGTTCGATGACAGTTTGAAGCCCAACGTTACTGGTTGGTACCTTCTCATATTGTTAAAGCCCAAAGATTTATGTTGATGTCTTTCATTCAGGGACTAGACTTTTTTCACCTTTTGAAGAAAAAAAAATGAGCTTCACTAAACACTTCTTCTACCAAACACAAGGTTACGGTCTTATAAAGGAAAAGGAGTGCCCACCAATCTAATAGTCAAGGTGATAACATGTCGTTCTTTACAATACCAACTAGGAACTCAAGACGGTCTAAACTAAAGAAAAACGAAACATTATGAGAGACAGCTCTTCTAACTAGCATATGTGCCACTCTATTGGCTTCCCTACAAACATAAACCACTTTGCAACCATGAAAAAAGATTATATTGAGTATGTATCGGTCGTATGTAAACCTCTATAGTAGACTCATCCACCCTTCTTCTAAGACCAGATTAACATCAGCACCAAGGCTATGATATTCAGTCAAACTCGAATCGGAAGGGACCTTACTCTTAGATGATTAGTAAGAAGGTAGAGTGAGTTTAGGAGTACAACATACACACATTTTGTAGATATAATTATTTGAATTTAAAGTCTATAGAAAATAATATTTTCTGATCATTGAGGTCATTTAATCAGTCCTTTAAAATCGCATAATTAAATATGTTTAAAAGTATGTTTATGAATAACTTAAAATTTTAAAAGAATCATGATTAAATATTATTTTCATTAAGATCAAATAATCTCACGTCATACACATCTCATTTATTTTTTGGAATTAGCATTAATAATTCAAAAGAAATGATCATCCAACTCAGTTGGTAGAGAACAAGGTTCTTAATCTTGAGGTCGTGAGATCGAGTTCCATGGAGGGCATTTCATAATTTGGAGGCATTATACGGAAACTGTTCTTAACCTAATGTTGAGGACAACCTACTATCTTACCTCCCCTTACCCCATTACATATGGGAATAAATGACATCCATTATAATTCAAATGGGTATTGTTTTTATTATAAAGTAAAAGGAGTGTAATATTTTTCCATTTTGGTGATTGATTCGTATACCAAAATTTGGGCAATGTCCGTAGTTATACCGAGTTGAACCATTCAATTACAGCAGATTGAAGGATTGTTTTTCTATTGTCAGCTGTCCGCTTCGTAGGGTACCAATTTGAGTGCCCTAGACTCTAGCCTACGTCCTCCGTGCCTAGTCTTCAGTAATAACTAATAAATGCATTATTATTTCTTAATAAGATTTTAGGTTCAAATATTAAAAATATAAATGTTTAATATCGATTAAGAATTATTTTTAAATATATATTATTTTATATATACCCGAAATTAATTATAAAAAAAACAAGTTAAGTCTCATTCACTGTATAGTAACATGCCTCAAACAAACCAAATGTAAAGCCGGATACATGATTAGTTTTTAATTAATATTTTCAAAATAAAATTTGTACTCTTTTTAGCCCACGTGCCCTATTTTGATTAAAGGTGTGAACTGTGGTCGCATGGTCCGACCCCACGCCCCAACCTAACACTATTAAATCTCTAATTGTGTGATTAACAAGAATCGTGACCCATCGACGGCAACCCTGCTCGCCGTCTCCTTTAAACCAACAACCAATTTTTGACCATAGGCCTCGTAATGTCCTTGTCCGAGCTCGGTACCACCAATCTCTTGTCCCCGTTAGGTCTCCACTTTCACCACTTTGTAATTTCGCGCAATTTCAAGTTTTGCACGACAACTTCAATCCATTTCCATAAAAGAGGTTAGACACCAATTAACATGAGTTAGTTGAGTACTTATTAATATTTTAATAGATATTATGTTCCAATCTCATTAATAATTTTCAATAAATGATTTATACATGTTGATAAGAATAAATCGAATTTATTGGTAGTTGGTGATTCACCTTTTTTAGTTCAAATGAAGAGTCGTGATCGATAAGACAACGATTGTTTGTCATGGAGGATGAAAACGATCCAGGGTTATAGGGGTTACAGAGATCCTATATCTTTTCCGACCTTGGTTGGGACTATTTATAATGGACTTTAGTATATTTGCAAGCCCTAGTGATATTATAAGTATTTATAAACTAACTGTTAGGTATATTTGATTTTTAGATCTTAATTTACGTTTTGATAAATTATGTGACTCTTAAAGATGTTATTTATGTATTGTAGTTACTCTTGGATATATGTCCAGAAGATATAAGTAGGGGCGGAACTAGGAATTTATTGTAGTGGGTTAAATATTTTATTTATTTTCCATAAATATAATTTTTTAATTGAGTGGCCGGCTCCTCTTGCCCTCCCTTGGTTCCACCCATGGATATAAGCTCTGTAAAGGTTGCGATAGATGGACTAGCAGCTATGTATGTTATGTTTGACGAAAGATAAAATTTATCTTAAGAGATATAATAATGAGTATAGATTAATTTTAATTATATAAAATTAATGGTATATTTAGGTGTGTTCAATCGGTCGGATCTGTTAACTTACATGACTAAACTTTCAAAATTTCTTTAACCGATTTTTTTTTCATTTTAGTTGTTAATCGAACCGATTTTTTTTAAATAATTAACCTAATTGAACAAAATTCGTTTAATCAACCGGTTAACCGAATTAATCAAAATTTAAATAGTATATATTATATATTTAATATTTTCAGTTAATTAGGTCGATTTAATTATGTTAAGATCGAACTTTAAACACTCCTAAAGCTATTAATATATAAAAAAATATATTAAAAATTTAAAATTTTTGGTCAATTAATCGATTTCGAACCGAATTAACTGATAATCAAACTTTGAAAAATCATTAACGATTAACTGATCGAATTTAAAATTAATCGACTAATCAACCAAAAAAAATTAGTTTAATCGTTTTAATCGATTAATCGAAATTTTGAACACAATCTTAAATCAAAAAATAAATTAAAAAACGTAATACAAATAATGGGTTTTAGATGTCAAATGGTGGAAGCCTTTCTTTTTTAAGAGGTACTTTGTATTAAAGATAATCAAAATACACCACCTCAATGAATTCATTAAAAAAACCCTAACCCTAAATTAAAGAAAAAGAGTGTACCTTTGAAGTGGTAAGCAACGTAAACACATAAACTTTCACAACAATGAGACCATACTCCCACCCTGCCTCAATCCCCGTTTCAACACAAAATGGAACAAAACAAAACAAACCGACATAAGGAATAAAAATCTGACTAATAACCAACCACACACTGCAAAACCAGTGAAATAAAAGTAAACAACAACGCGAGAAATCAACAGCATCCTGCTCTAGTGGAAGCCTTTTTAGTGGGGGGAAAGGCTGATGGGGGATATAACACCCAAATTTCCACCATCCACGCAGGAAATTATAACTTTTTTGAGAAAGTCATTGAAGATTAAAAGAAATCTTCATGTTCTTTTGATTTTGTACAATGGAAATTGCTGCCCAGGGAAAAGGACATTACAATCAAAGTGAAAAGAATCTATTAAAGAGCTTGTTTGATGCTGACATTAACTGATCGATGTTTATGTTGTTTGAAACTGTTGGCCTGTTATATTCTCCTTCACGATGATTGTTCTTTCTTTTACCACTGCATTAAACATAATTATATAATATATTGGATTATTTAAATAGGAGTATAGAGTAAGCTCCCAATAGTTAAGACACCATGGCTAAGAACAGGAAAGTGCAACATCTTTTTAATGCAGAAAGATGTTGGTTTGAACAAATGTCTGATTTGTAAGAACTGGGAATCAATTTGGAGAAACCCGAGGCCTAATCTATGATCATGGAATAGTGTACGTGATTTATATATTTTAATCTGGCCGACATTATTGGATAGATTTAATTTTAAATATTCAAAAATATTTTAAAAGAAT